AAGTAGAGTATCCCCAGCAAATCCTCTGAAAACAAAACCAACGTAGAATTCAGATGTGTCTTTTTCTTTATTCTCTTGGAAACAGACTGGTTTGTCTTGTTTTTAGTTCAAGTCCGGTGCAAAGCGATTTTCGGTTTGACATGTGTGCGAGTGGATTCCGCGGTCATTCGGCCCGTCGTTTTTGGGGAGTTGGTGGCCACTTTGGGTTAAAGCAAAGAGAACATCCACCATTCTTTGGGTGGTTTCAAAAGAACACCAAGAGGAGATCAGCCTCTTCTGGTAGTTTATGAACACCAAGATGGCATGCTGCGATGCAACTTGCCGTGCACACCCCATTGGCGCAAGGAGAAATGAAAGCCCCAAGAGGACATCCACCATTTTGAAGGCATGTGCATTTCTGAACAGAGTGGAATCAACTTGTTATAGGCTTGGTGCGCAAACAATTTTTGAACAAAGTTATTTGGGCCCTCGCCTCAAAGTGCCCAACCCCCCCCCCCCCAAAGGGCAACAAGGGAAACAAGGGAACATGGGGGGAATTCTAGGCACTATATATAACATATAGGTGTGCCTTTTCTGGAGGGTCCCCTTTCTTGTGTTTTTTTTAAGGAACACCAAAGAAAATGCAGCATTGGGGGGGTCCAACCGCAAAAACCAGACACACATATTGGGTGATCACCAGGTTTAGTTTCCCCAGAATTAACTCCTTTTTTTGTTTTTGCTTTTTTGGGATCCCTTTGTTTTCCACCAAAAAAAAGAGAGTTTTTGCTGGGGTCCTAATTCTGGCCTAGTCTGAGTACCCGGGTGCTCTTTAGTGGTGGCTTGGATGGTGGGATTCCACCAGCGAGTTGGCTCCAGGCAACTGGCAGCCTTGTTCCCGGGCATCCAGCCGGGCAACTGCTCGGAGGGCATGAAGGACGCGCCGAGAACGGGGGGGGGTCCAACTGAGCCACAATGAAGACCCGGGTAGATGAAGGTTAGTAAGAGACAATTCCAACCATAAATGACCATTTGAATTCCGAGTTTTTATTATGACTCAACTGAAAGCTTTCCGCTGGGGAATGATGTGAATGGGCGTGTTTTGTTCTTCCATTTGTTTATGTTTTATTTTCCCTGGTTTTAAAGTGAAACGATTTCACTACTGGACATAGCTTCTGTTTTTCTTTTCTTTGGGGGGGTACCCCAAGTTTGGTGGGTTCAAAGGGACACCAAAAGGACACAACACATTTTGGGGGGGTCCTCTAAAGCACAACGAGCCGCCCAAATCGGTTGCTGTTTGAGCCTATGATTGGTGTATTCTGGGTTGGTCCCGGCGAGGCAGTGATTCTAGCCCATGCTCATAGGAGTAACTGTTTTCAATTGTCTATGACCCCATTTTTATAGGGTCATGGAGACTCCAGGTAGGCCTTTAGAATGAATCTGAGGATGTTGCTTTCACGCTCCAGAAGATCCATCCCACACCCCTCCCCCCCGCATTCCCCAACCCCGCCTACACTCAGCTTTTGTGTTTTGGGGGTCTCTCACCGACAAACATTCAGGTACCCTCACTTCCTGAGTTCCGTGAAACGGACTTTGGTCACGTGGGTTTGGACTATTTTAGTGGCAAAGAAGCAGTCTGGCTGCCTTGTTTGGCCTGTCCACGGAACTGAGTAACACTTTGGTTTGGTTTATTATTATGGATTTGAATTCCTGGTTTTTGGGGGGAAAATCGGCCGGAAGACCTCAACTCCAAACCGGGGAAGTTGAATCAATCATGCCAAGAAGCTTCCCTGGACATCCGAGGGCACTTCCTAGAGTCACTATTCAATGGAACCACCAAAACTTTTGCTCAATGAGGCTGGGCCTTAATTTGTCGGAATCCTACACCCCACCACCAAAACATCGCTCCATTCCCCCTGTTGTTAGAAGTTCAGGGGCTCTTGTTTTTGCTCACTCCCTGAGTTCAGTTTCGGACTTTAGCCACTTTCTGGGTTTGGACCGATTCAAAACCTTGGTTACTTTTCGTTCGGAAAGAAGGGGGACTGGCAGTTGTTAATTTTTCCCAAACATTCCTTGTTTGTATCATAGATTGAACACCCCTGGTTCTTGTACAGGATAACTGGGGAGTTTCCCTAACCTCCAAATAACCAACACAAACAACCAATTCACGCTTTTCCGAAATGAGCAGAATCCTTCCTGCCTCAGCTTGTGCCTGCGCACGTCTCGTGTAACATGTGCATCATGTTGCGCGAAGGAGATCGGCAATGCCAAGGTGTGGCAGCGACCTGGACTTTCCTTGACTGCTATAGGGTTGGCAGAGTTGTTTCAGAAGTCTAAGGATTGTTGAGTATTCAGCTTCCTTCTACTTGGTGGTTTGGAGCCCGGTGGTTTGGTGGTTAGGTGTAGTTTCCGTTTACCCTCGATACGAACAAGGGGATGCAATCCCCGATCTTGCAAAAGGCAACGACCTCATGATGAAAGCTGCTGTAGGAGGTCTGTAGGTCTCAGAACCGTTGCTGTTTGATTTGGAAGTGAGGCTCATTGTGGCCAGCGGGAGTTTGCATTGCGGACCGGCATTTTGGGTGTGGCGGTTTGTTGATTTTGTTCAGGCATGCTGAAGCGAGACAACAAGCCACGTTTGTTAAGAACAAAACTCGTTTGAGTCACTGACAACATTATCTTGCTGGTGCTCAGCAGGACATGACCCAGAGTTTCGGGAATGAACCTAGGGTGTAATGTTGACCCAGGATTAATGATCCCGTCCCATTTCTAGGGGGGTGTTTCCTCCAAAAGTGTTCTGACTCCCCACTAAAAGGGGACACCCTCCAAGAAAATCAACCAGGGCTTCTGCTTACTCCGGGGTGAACATGAAAGGAAACCATAGGAGGATTGATTATAGGTGTCATTGCTTCATCCCCTGCTGAGAACGGGGGAAGTTATTGGTAGGTGACAACCCACATTTCACACAGGTCACAGGTCCTTTCCTGGAAGCAGTAAAACTTTGTTCCGGGCTCATGTTACCGGGTGTCAGGGCACTCCTTTGATTGAGATGTCATTCTGCCCTTGCCGCAAAGGTGGCAACAAGGCTACCTTGTTTGCTTTCCCTTTGAGACGCGCACTTCCGCAGCTTCTTGACTTTGAACTTTTGGTAGCCTGGAACCCGCAAACTAGCCAGACAAGTTGCATAGTACCTTCAAACGATGCCGTGTTTGAGGATTCCGGAGGACATTTTAGGATGAACAGCAAGCCTTAATTTTTGTTTGACCATTCGACTCGATCGGAAGTGAGGGCGTCATTTGCTTGTTCACTTTGGATGTTTCTCTACCTTGAGGACCTGTGTTGATTGGTTTTCCTTTGGTTTCTAAAATGCAAATTCCATGTGCCTAAGTTGTTGTTTCTCTGCTCGGAATCTAAGTGGACTTGTTTATAGTCCACGGGACTTAAGCAAAATGAGGCCACTCAAAGGGAGACAGGCCCATGTGAGACGGACGCATTTGAGGCTGGATTGCGAGGATGCCATCAGGAGAGTGAGCCGCAAGATGGCGAGAAGAGAAAATGCGAACGGCGCGAATCTTTCGACTTTGCGGACGATTCAGAATCTCAGAAGCTTTGGCTTTCGGGACCACACCATAACCTTTTTGTTTGTTTGCTTTATAGGGTCATGGTTGGGAACCCTGTTCGACATGGTCAACCTTCCCCCCGCCAAAAATGTTAAAGAAAGAGATAAATGAAAGAAACACACACTTTTCCGTGGCTGGTCTTTGGTGTGGACTTAGCCCTCAGACCTGTTGCAAACAAATGGAGTTTCCATTAAACCTAAAAAGGTTAGACCTTGCTCAGGGGGGTAGAGGAACCTAGTAATAACACAAGGCCACCAGAGACGTGGTTGGATCTATCTCCCCAACTAAACAAGGGTTTCACTGAAACTTACCAGGGTCAGTGGGCAACTGGATATCCAATCAAAACCTTCGGGCGATCCTTGGTTGAATGGGGTGTGTTCATGAGCAAAGATCCAGTGTATTGCAGTAAAGGGGGACGGCATGGGACACCAACCGACCTTTGCTTGGCGGTTCTCAGCCGTCCCTTGAGTTTTTGTTTCAGGTTGTTTGTGTTCAGTGGTTGGGGTTCCATTGAGTTCCCACATATTCACTTTTAGCAGTGGATCTCAAAACGGACAGCCCAGTTTAGACAAGCAACTTGACTTACCAAATGACCGAGGTGAGGGGCGATATCCCCAACAGAACATTATATTAGTATGTATATAGATATATACATATATACAACAACATACATATACATGTATGTCCATACATACATATATAAATATGTGTGTATGTTGGCAAATTATCATGACACATCTCCGAGTAAGATAGGTAAGATTATTTTGCCCCAGCTGTGCTCGGCAACCCATTAGTGGAACAGTTCAAGATAGCTGCCCATTGCTGCCTATGTCCCATGCACTCCTTACTTCAGGTGTTTTTCCGCACTGGGAATTGTGAGGCCAGGTTTGGCTTTTAAACTTGTAAAGGACTTTCTAGGGATAACATTGTATTACCCCGCCCAAAACTGCAGAAGCTGTCCCACTCGATTTCCCCTCTTGGGAGACGAGTGTAACCCTGTAGATCAGGGAACTCGTAATCATTAAAAGCTTTGAATCCAATGCTACTTGATTTGCTAAAGGAAACAGCGCCCACTCGAAGAACCCTCACAACAGAAGGGTTAAAGCTGAAGTACTGGTTAAAGACTCGATTCGGCTCCCACTCCAAAAAAAAGAAAGACTCAAAACAGGGGGGTTAAAGCTGTTCCGAACCCTCGTGAGCTCCAGGCGGGCTCGTCTTGTTAGCCTCGGTACGGGTCCCTTTGGCCGGGTTTTAACAAACCACAAACTGAAACACCATATAGCTGATGGTCCCCATTTTTCTGCCAGCCCAATCTGGGTATGGTCCCCTAAAACCGACTCCAATTTTTGGAGATGTCCGGTTCCCAGAAGATGAGGCACCCATTTCCTGTCGGAGCTTTCTAAGGCTGACGCTGAGCCACCTGGCCATGAGCCCAGCGACACCGAACTGGTCGAACCGGTCGCTGGACCTCATTTTTTTGAGTGTGTGTCTTTCTGAGGGTACCGGAAGGACCCGAAGAAGCTACCCTGAAAAATCACCAACCAATATGTTGGTTGGCAATATCAACCAATGAGCATGCTGGAAGTCAAACAGGACAACCGCCATAGCTATATCTAATGGGGTTGGTGGGTTTTTGTTGAAAGGGAACCTACTGGAGAAACAACCAAACGGTCTGGGGTTCTCCAAAAAAACGCCCACATGAGACCACAAGATTCACTACATGGGCCAGAGTCGACGTAATGTTTTGGGCTGGGGCAAATGCCGAGATAGTTCAAATGGGCAGCACCCGTTGGGATCGGACATGGGTACCCTTTTTGCAACTATTGAAGTGGACAAGGCACTACGAGGATGGAAGTCTTCCAACACCACGTCAACCATGCTTGTTGGACAAGGGGATAAGTTAGCATGCCGTTTGCTTGGTGGGCCAAAGTTGAGGTGGGTTTGATGTGGGCAGAAGAACGGTATCCCACACCCCACCCCAGGAAGTGAATTCCTTCAAGGGAACCCCTGAATTGGTGGTTTGGATTGGTTGTTTGTGGACTTGAACCCCTGTGGTTCGTGCGCGGAACACTCCAAACTATCAACTAGAGGGAAGCAGTTTCCTTACTTGCAATACTTTTCTGTGCCTTGTGTTTGAGGGTACCTTTTGGGGGTTGTTTGGTTGATTTTTCGGGAAGCCAAAAAGCGAACCATACGGTGGATGGACGAAATCCTGCACCACCTAAGAAGCACTGGTCTGATTCCCTGTAAATACCAACAAGCAGTGGGTTTCTCATAGTTTCTTAGGTGGTGCGAAATGGATTTCGTCCATCCACAGTATGGGAAAAAGAGAACCCTATGGGATTGGTACCCTTTTTGGGGTTGTTGTTTTTTTTTTTTTTTTCCGGGCAACCGAAAAGGAGACCCATATGGCCCTGGGTCAAAAGCCCGTACCCCCAGTGAACATCCCAATCCCCAACTAAAATAGACTAAGATGGGTGGCGCACCTACCCCAAAATGGGATCCCATTGGTTTTGACAACCACAGCCATATGGCACTTCGCCTGTACGCATTCGGCCCCAGGCCTGTGCCATCATCTCCCTGGCACACCTCAGCCATTGCCACGGCATGGCAAAGCAGGAGCGCTTGCTTCAGCGAGCCGGTCAACACCGAGAGTTGCGTGTCATTTTAAAACCAGGGAGGTGTATACAAAACGGACCACATACTACTATTGTTATAGCACAGGAAACATGCTAAGTGTAATATGTGAAGCTTGAAATTCCACAAATGACCAACCACATTATATATATACACACATTATACACACTAAACATAATGTATGCATGTAGCTACAAACAACAGATTAGACATACTAAACATAATATATGAATGCGGAAATTCCCAAAAAAACATCATGTATCTGTAGATGCATCTCAGGTTTTGGAGCTGTTGTAACATCTGCAGAACCATCCTCCAAGTCGCCCTTTTCCAGTTTGTGAATGGTTCCGTGATTTGCCCAGGTACTTGCATAGCTGGGTGGGGCAAAATATGGTTTAAACACCACCTCTACAAGGGACGAATCATCATAACCAGTGGTTTTCCACATGCTTAAACCAGGCAGGGCACTTCCCGCGATTCGCTCGCCATGTCCGCAAGGAGGCGGACATGGCTGTGCTGGTGGCAGCATGCCTGGTGCTGCCCATCGCGGTGGTCAGGTACTCAGCGTGGCAAAGGCAAAGCGGGGCTCTCATTGGAAGGTTCCCATTTTTTTGGCAAATTCGACGGAGTGTGCCCTGTTTTTGTTTGGTCCCGGATGGGAAGGGAAATCAACCAAGAAGAATGGGTGCCCTCACTTGGGGTCTGGGACCAGTGGCGGGACCTGCTTTCCAACCACCAACCAGTTTTTTCGACCTCCGTGTTTACCGGGGCAGCATACGTCCAGCCCATCCCTCAGTATTGAAGGCGGGTGTGTGATTTTTGGTTGGCAGTGAGCACGGAAGAACAGATGTTGAGAGCTTGTTTCTGCAACCATGCTAGCCTGCACACTCTGGCGATGCCATCGTAAATATCCTGTGCACACACAGCAAGAACCAGGTCATAAGGGCACTTAGACACAGCACGCGTGCTTTGCCCTGGGTTTTGAACAAGCCCCAGTTGTTCAGTGCCAGTCCGTGTCCCTTTTTGGTTGGTGTTTTCCGTTTCAAATAGGCAGCCCAAAACAAGGCTCCATTCTTCTGGCAGGGTCACCGCGGGAAGCGATTTGTTCTCAAGAGAAGTCAGCCGAGAGACTTGAAGAGACGATTGTTTCCTTGTGATAGCAAGCATTTTCCTGGTTTCATTCCACTGGACGACCAAGGGGAAAAGCGCAGCAACCAATGCAATTCAACAGGAGGCACCTTCCCAAATAACAACAGCTTCTTGTCTGGTCTTTCAACCAGTTCTTCGACTGTCCCGTCAACTTGAAGCTCCTTTGTTTCTTCGAACGCTTATGGAAGGCGAAGTTTCCCTTAACAGTCTTAACACATTGTTGTACCAAATTAGAAACGCTACCCTTGGAAAACGCAGATCCCTGTTCTGTTTTTCAGGCTGCCTAACCTGCTCTGGGTCCGGCCTGCTGGACACTCACCTTTCAGCTGCGGCGCTAGCACTAAAGCACCTGACATATTTGGCCCCTTTTTGAACGCACGTGTTGAGCTAGTGTCTATGTTACCATGCAATCGTGACAAAGGCATCATGGTGATAAAGTTCGGGGCTACAGTGAAGGTTTCTGTGCAGTGCTGCAGCCAACTGTCCGAAGCGGATCGCCCGCCTGCCTGCGAGGCTGCCACGCTGCGATTGCTGGCGCTGCTGGTTGCGAGCCTCTGTCCCCGTGCTCAGGCGCTTCCTTTCGCTCGATCGCCGAAGGCGGCCGAAGGAGGGCGGATACGTCGACTCGATGTGGGCGTTTCTGTTGGGGGTTCTGAGGGCACCCTTACTTTCACCTGAGCTTGAAGGGAAATGAAGGCAAACGACATGGGGGCCCTATTTGGCACATACGGTGAATGTAGATCGCCTTCAGATGCTTCGTTTCTTGCAGTTGGCCCCATGTCGGCTAAAAAGGCCAGAGGGGTGGGGAGGATGGTGTCAAACATGGGCACAGGTGGCAAAGTTTGCAGCGTGATGGTGGCCTCTGCATGTTTATCACACACAACACAGAGCTTTTGCAGTATCATCTTGATCCTCCTCATCGTCATCATCGTCATCATCATCGTAATATGTTTCTTCCTCGCCCTTGTATTCGTCATCGTCATCCTACTGATCTTCATCCTCATCATCATCATCATCATCATCATCATCATCATCATCATCACCATCATAGTAAGTATGTTCTTCATCATCCAGGTGTCGTGGCCGCTGTTGTCGTCATCACCATCATCGACATCACAGGGGCCACTGCAAGAAGTCAAGCTCTATGCTCGCTTTCGATCTTTCCCGTGGATGTCTCAACACCCAGACCCTCAAAGGACATAAGAACAGCCATTTGTTCAGGTTTCCTAGAGCATTCTTGTCCTTCCAACCAACCCCAAAAAACCAGAAAGTCCCCCATCGGCGCGTCCTCCGGGGAAGGCCGGTTCTGGCAGATTTCCGGTGAACCACATCCTCAAAACCGATTCAGGTGAATACAGCCCAGGAAGAATCCCCTTGCCTTGAATGGGTGCGGACATCCGTGGTGGAGATCCGATCCTCCGTTTTGAGGTGGAGGACTGCAATGTGGACTTGGGACTCGTCGGGCCTGGGGCCCAAATCGGTCTAAGCCGGGGGCGGGGGAACGGGTTTCTCGACAAAATTCGTTCGCGCCACGAAATTAAACCATGGGAAACCTTGTTGTTGGTATTTACAGGGGAAGCATCATTCCAGGATTTCAGGGTTTCGTAGGTGGCGCGAAATGGATTATGTCCATCCACAGTATGGGTGGGAGGCTGGTCTTTAAGCTTGGACCCTTAAAGTGGGTGGGTTTGCCATTTGGTTTCCCACCAAAGGGGCACGGACCCTGACTTACAGAAATTAGAATTCACTAACCCGCGGTGTCTTTTTCAAGGCTGGACCCCCCCCCACCGAGAAATGGATGGGTTGTCCCTTTTTTCTGGGGCAAGTTTGGGATTTACAAATTTCTCAATGTAGGTGATTCTCGTCTTGTCTTTAAGGTTGGACGGTGTTCTTGTGTTTCAACTCGAAGAGCGAGGGCAACCCTACCTGTAGGGAATACCGCTCCCCGACATCCCTGGCCTTGCGATGCCACATTGCCCAACCTCAACAAATAACTGCAAATACCGTGCAAATCGCAGCCAGCATCCCGGCCAACATTCTCTACATCCTCGCCAACTTGACCAGAATCCCCAGCATTCCTGCATCACCAGAATCCGGGCTTTTCAGCATCCCTTGCACCCCCTGCATCGCGCCAACCCTCAAAACATGGCCACCTGAGAGTAGGTTTTGGCGGTAGGCGGACATAGCAGACATGTTTGCGATCAAGTGAGCGGGGTTTCCGCGAAGGTGGGGCCGCGGCTACTGTGTGGAACACATTCTCAATTTTTCATGGGTTTCTGTATGCGTCTTCGTCTTTCGGTGTGCGCCCGTGCGACGCGGGCGCGCACGCGCGCTGCTCGCAAGCAAGCTTGCACGCAGCAAGCGTGCAAACACGCACGCATGCACGCACGCTCGCGTGCGCGCACACATGCGCACAGGGGGTGCAGGGGTGGGTGGGTGGCAAGGGTGGCAAGGGTGGGAAGGGTGGGATGGGTGGGAGGGGTGGGAGGGGTGGGAGGGGTGGGAGGGGTGGGAAGAGTGCAAAAATTGGGAGTGGGCAGGGTGGGAAGGGTGCGAAGGGTGTCAAAGTGGGTGGATGGGTGCTGAGTGGCAGGGAGGTTGGGTCAGCAACCCCTACAGCCAACCAGCGCAGCTGGTGATGGCGAAGCCTCTTGGGATTGGGAACAACCGGTGGTTTCTCCAGCCAGGCCTCAACAAACGAGCCGCCCCGTGTTGGACCCCACTCGGGCGGTTGCCCTTTTCCTGGTTTCCCCATTAAGAAACGTCCCATTTTGAGAAAGTTGTGCTTTTGGGGCGGTTGTCAAGGAATCGCAATGGCGAAACCCACCACGTTGCGGACCGCAATACACACCCATTTCATTTTTGTGTGTCAGGTCTTTGAACCATCTGGTCAAATCACGCAACATCCAAACTGGAACGCCGGGATCCCCCACATCATCAGCCTTCACGATGTTTGGGTCACTTCAGGTTGATCGCTTGAGGCATCATTGGACAAGTCAAAGGGACTGCCAAGCACGCCCACAAAGGAGAACGCGAACAAGGGAAGTTATTCAAAAATCACTGGCACACTGCTGTTTCCCACCAGCCCATGTAATATCGACCCTGGGTTAGTCAACCTGTGGGATTATTCGCGGGGGTGTTCCCGAAAAAGTGATCCGGTTCTTCACTTAAGTTGTCCTACTCATCTCGTGACTTTCGTCCATGCGGCTTGAAGCCATAGGTTTTTTGGTCTTGACGCATCTGAAAGTGACATCCAGCTTGCCCAGCAAGCTGGGGTTTATTCGGGCGCTTCCCAGTAATGTTGACCCTGGGTTGAGACACCTTGTTGATTTTGATAGGGTCATGAGAAAATAATAGAGGACGGGAGCGCACCCCGCAGTACGCCAGTAGTTGTGATTGAAAGCGCTGGATGCACCCGCCACACCGACAAATTATAACACGTTGTCGTTACTTGCGCCAGCGGCAATACTCGGAATGCCCAGCCGAATATCCGGGTTCGCCGCCACAAAAAGACTCCCCTGCAAGTGGTGAGCAGCACGCCCCCTGAATGAGACACCTCCTATTTGATATAATTTTGGACTTTAATGTTCTTGCTTGAACCTTTTTATCGATTTTCCGGATAACATGGAACCTGACAGGGGCCCTGTCCCTTTCAAACGGCAAATGGTGGAAGCCAGGGCCTTCCAAGCGTCAGGTTCCATGTCAAAAAGGGTGGGAGGGTTTTATTTTTTTTGCAGAGGGGTCGTTTCAGCCACCAAGGGGTTGCCTCAAAATCCTGGCCCAGGCCCGGGCAGCAGTGGCTGCTGCAGGTGCCTGCAGAGTGCTCAGTGCCAATTCGCCCGCGGCCCGGAGTCAAAGACCGGTTTGGTTCGGGCGAGAGTTGGGTGGGTTCTTTTTGACGCTTTGTTGGTCGGTTTGAAAGGGACACCCAACAGGAGAACCACCATTTGTGGGGAACAAAAGAAAAAAGCACCCATTTTAACCTTGAGTCGGAAGAGAAACCAACCGGAGCTTCCATTTTTCTGGAAATGTGACAAAGGATGCCAAGTTCTCGGCATTCTCGACCGTGTGGAGGCAGAAAACCCTTTTGAATTCCGAACTTGACAGAGAAGGCATCCCTAGCCAACCCCCAAACCTTGCAGATCGCCGGTGATGCCCTAACCCTCGTTGGGATGCACTCGAACATGGCGATAGACTCAGTGGTTCAAAGCGAATCGACCTTTTGACCTTTGGGTTTTCCCTTTTTGGTCTATTTTTAGTAGAGGTCCCAAAAGGTTGACCTTTTGCAGGTCCTTTGGGCAAGTGAGTAGAGCATGTAACTCTACGGTGCCGAGCAGACGGACGTCCTTCTGCCTGTCCACGATGTGGAGCAGACGCACAGACTGGAGACTGACAATCTCAGATCAGGCGCCTGTCTGGCTGCCGCCCCGCAGTCTGCTAACCTTGAGGAAGCTGAAGATAGCCAAAGAGCAGCGGGCAGTGAGGAGGGAGCAGCGTGAAGGAGGGGAGCCGGTGAGTCAGCAGCCACAGCACAATCAGCTCCGGGCAAGCCAGCACTACCCCCAAACCGAAGCTACCCACAGCGGTTAAATTGGGGATACAGTGCCAATTTGTAGCCACCATCTACCGGGTATATCCCATTAAACCCCTGGCGGTAGCTTCGGTTTGGGGGTAGTGGAACCCATCTGAGAAAGGGGTTGTGTTGTAGATCAAAGGCTGAATGAAGAGGTCCATATTATGTGAACCCATGGCCACTTCCTCATCATTCAGCCATCACTACCGCTTAACTAACCCACAAACTAGGGGTTCATACCAGGGGTTCATAAATGGACCTTTACATTCAGGCTTATAGAGCATGTTCATGCGATTGGGTGCCTCAAACTGCCGAAGGTTGTCAAGCGCTGGCCGGTCGGGTTTGGAGGTAGGGTAGAACTCCAAATAGATGGGAATGGGTCGAAATTCAAAATTAAGCCCCCCGGAATTGGTTTTTGTCTTTGTTTCCCTTTCCCAGGGCACCCGATTGTGGACTCACGCCCATATATATATATATATAATGTATATCAATTGCCCATGTGTTTAAATCAATACGGGTGTTTATTTGGCGCCGTGTGCGCTAAAGAACAGACAACACAGCACTCTGTGATTCTGCGCCTCCTTTGTTTCCTTTGCCGGCTTTGGCCGTGCCTTCTGGAGATGTTGCTAAGCGCGGCTTCCAGGCCGAGTTGATTTGCCAGGGCTCCCTTGGAAAGGGCTCTAGCGAACGGATCCCAGTTGCCCAGTGGGTTGCTTCCTTTTTTTCCTCTTTTTTTTTGGTGATGGCTTCCCCTTAAACTCAACCAACCAACCAAAAAAGGATTCCCTTTTTTTCCCTGGCCACTGGACATCTGAGGGATTTAAGCTTGCGCCAAAGGATCAGCATGTGTCGCATCCTATTCACCGCTCAAATTGGGGCGGTGTACTCCTTGGTGGCACAGCATCTCGGATCAGGCGGATGGCTAGGTGTTCCCCCGTAAATGAGGATCCCTCTGAAGTGGCAGACAACTCTTATCAGCCAACCAGGGGGTTATTGGGCGTGTTTGTTTACGGTTGGTGGCCCCTTGATCGGATTTTTCAAGGGCAACCAAGAGGAAAGCCGTCGTGCCATGTTGCGGGGTCCAACACCTAATAAAAGACATGGCGCCCATTCCCCCCAAGTCTGTGAAGACCTCCAGTAGGGGTCCATCTGGCCAGTTTTAGGGGGTAAACGAATTCCTGGACAGAGTTTCAGGCTTTCGAGCAGGTACCCCTTGGATGACCAGTTTCAGTTTGGGGTTTCAGGCTGGCAAGCTCGTTACCTACACGACAACAGGGATGTTTTTTTTGTTTTTTTTTCCAGACCTGGCCGCTGAAGGTCGTTGAGACGTCGGCTCGTCGCCTAGGTGAGAGCTTCCTGGTAGCGTCGCCGCCTGAAGCGGAGTCGCAGGTGTTCAGTCCAAGGTGGTAGGCGATTGGGGGGGACATGGTAGTCGTTTGAGGGACATGGACCCCGAAAAGAAACTAAGCTTCCCAAAGACAGGGGACTTACGAAGCTTGGGCCTGAGGTTTGAACCCTTGGCCCAGGTGTTGGAGGATGGGGGGCATGTCGTTTTCACTGCTTGTCCCAGACCTCCAGCCGTGCTCCGTTGTTCCTGTTTTTTTTGGAGCGAGTTTCCCTAAGTCAATCAAAAAAAGGAGACCTGAGATGAGAACCCCATGGCCACTGGGGGGTTTGGGGCTTCTTCTCCAAGAGTATCCGCAAAAAGCTGTGAGTTTTTGGGAGCCTCTTCCAAATAATTTTGTTTGCTTGATTGGTGCTTGGACCCAAAGAACCTACCCTGGAAAACGGGACATCACCCTATGATTCTGGTGTATCCAATTTTCATGGCTCGTTTGAGGGTGGAGGTGGGCGTTGCGTCGTTACGTCCTTGGGTTCTCCAGTGCTGTTTGAGTTGTGGCCAATGGATATCAAAGGGTATGTGTCTGTGTTTTTTTAGGGAACCCTTCCCCCAAAAAAACTAGACCACGGTTGGCCCGAAAGCAGAACATCGCAAGCGAGGTCGGCCCAACGCTGCAGGATGCGTTCTTTTTCCCTACACTTCGTGAAGCAAGCGCGAGACAGCACCAGGCAAGGTGCTCTGCGCAAACTGGTCGGTGCAAGTTGGTCTGCGCAAGTTGCTCTACGCAAGTTGCACTGTGCAAGTTGCTCTGCGCAAGTTGCTCCGCGCAAGTTGCTCCGGCAAGTTGGTGCAAGTGGCTCCCTGCAAGTTGCTCTGTGCAAATTGCGCTCCCTGCAAGTTGCTCTGTGCAAGCTGCTCTGTGCAAGTTGCTCTGTGCAAGTTGCTCTGCGTAAGTTGCTCTGCGCAAGTTGCTCTAGGCAAGGCGCTCTGCGCAAACTGGTCGGTGCAAGTTGGTCTGCGCAAGTTGCTCTGTGCAACTTGCTCTGCGCAAGTTGCTCTGCGCAAGTTGCTGTAAAATGCAAGTTGCATCTTGCGACGCCCGCCCGCGGACCAGGGAGGAATCGAACCCGCGACCCGCCGGTTCCGGGAGCAGGCGCGCGAACCACGAGACAACTCCCGAGGACCAGTTCGAACAACAAAAGTCGCAAAAAACCTTGAGTTTTTGCACCTCGACCACGCCGATTCCCGCAGAGGGTTGCGCGAGCACCGCAGAAATCGCAAAAAACCATGGGTTTTTGCACCTCGACCACGCCGATCCCCGCAGAGGGTCGCGCGAGCAGGTTAGAAATCGCAAAAAACCATGGGTTTTTGCACCTCGACCACGCCGATCCCCGCAGAGGGTCGCGCGAGCAGGATAGAAATCGCAAAAAACCATGGGTTTTTGCACCTCGACCACGCCGATCCCCGCAGAGGGTCGCGCGAGCAGGTTAGAAATCGCAAAAAACCATGGGTTTTTGCACCTCGACCACGCCGATCCCCGCAGAGGGTCGCGCGAGCAGGTTAGAAATCGCAAAAAACCATGGGTTTTTGCACCTCGACCACGCCGATCCCCGCAGAGGGTCGATTTTCGTGTAGTGTCGTCGGCACTACCCCGCCGCCCTAAGAAGAGATTTTAACTCCTCGCAAGTCAATTGCACTTGACTCCTTGCACTTGCAACTTGCACTTGACTCCTTGCTTGTTTCAAGGAGTCATTGCAAGCAGTCATTGCAAGGAGTCATTGCAAGGAGTCATTGCAAGGAGTCATGGCAAGGAGTCATTGCAAGGAGTCATTGCAAGGAGTCATTGCAAGGAGTCATTGCAAGGAGTCATTGCAAGGAGTCATTGCAAGGAGTCATTGCAAGGAGTCATGAGAGCCATTGCAAGTTGCAAGGAGCCAAGTGCATGGAGTCAAGTGCAAGTCGCAAGTGCACGGAGTTAAGTGCAAGTTGCAAGTGCAAGGAGCCAAGTGCAAGGAGCCAAGTGCAAGGAGCCAAGTGCAAGGAGCCAAGTGCATGGAGTCAAGTGCAAGTTGCAAGTGCATGGAGTCAAGTTGCAAGTGCAAGGAGTCAAGTGCAAGTTGCAAGTGCAAGGAGTCAAGTGCAAGTTGCAACTCCTTGCAATGACTCCTTGCAATGACTCCTTGCAATGACTCCTTGCAATGACTCCTTGCAATGACTCCTTGCAATGACTCCTTGCAATGACTCCTTGCAATGACTCCTTGCATTGACTTTCATGATGATGATTCCTTGCAATGACACCTTGTAATGACTCTCATGAGAACAATTCAAGTGAACCCAGCGGAAGAACCCTTCGCCATGCTTTCGGGAAAAGGAGAAGAGAAGGAAACAGAAAATGGTGGGTGGAAACTTTATGGTTTCCCTTTAAAACCATGAAAAAAACTCAAAACAAATCGGGCACCTTCCCAATCAGTTTTAAAGTTGCTGCGAGCACCTTGCAACTGCAAGCGCTTACTATCTTCGCATATCCTTTTTTTCTATTACGTGTTTTGTTGTGACGTTGACCCCAGATTTTCATCAACCAGCCAGCTTTTTTCTAAGAGGGTGGTTTTGGCCCTCCAAAAGTGGTTTGATTCCGACCACGTTTCACCCAGGGATGCCGGGACCCCCTATGAATAAACTCGGGTTGATTAATATGGGGTCAACATTGACCTGCTACTCATTTACTATGTTTTCAGAATTGTTTCGAGTACTCTCAGAACGTTTCGCGCTTGATTTCTGCAGGGCTTCGCGTTTCCTTTGGGGAGGACACCAAGAACATGTGCCAACAATTGGCTGGTGACCCTTCACTCACATGACATGAGCATACTTGGTATGTGTCGCGTGTCTTTGAAGGGTACCCTTTTTTGGGTTGGTTTTTAACGGAAGCCAAAAGGAAAACCACTGTTTTTTTTGTTTTTTTGTTCGGGGGGAGGTCCCCAATAAAGGACATGCACCCATGCGCCAGGCCAGCAATAGGCCCCAGACACTCTCACCTGAGGCTGGGGAGTGACATTCGCCTCTCCCGGAAGCCCCTGGAGAAATCTAGGCATGAGCGGGCAGCATGCAGAGAGCCGTTCGTTCTTTGCTGGGGTGTCTTTTATCCCATGCTGACAGCTTCTCAAACAATACTTTTGGGCTTTAACCAACCCACTTTCCCATTTGGAGGGATGTTGTGCAAATTTGAATCACTTTAAATTAGACTTCTTTTTTTTCTTCGGTGTTTGGTTGCAAGTAATGCTCACCCGAAACCTTTGGTTTTCGTTCAGCTGGTTCTTAAGGTTCAGCTTGGGAACCCAGTTTCTGTGGGCAACAAATTTGGCATTTTGTGTACGTCTTTGCCCTTCACAAGGTAATTTCCCCAAGGCGCCCGGAAGCTGGTGGTGGTTTTAAAAATTCAAGAGATCTCCAAAAGACCGCAGGTTCTTGTCTTGTCCATTTGCCAGAGCTCCATTTCTGCACCTTTTGAGCCAACCAGGTGAGGTAAATCAGCTTGGGGTCCTGAAGGCTCCGAATGGGAGGGTTTCTCGGCATGTCCCGAGATGCGGTTGCCCCAAATGCATGCCATGGCCCAATTTTGCCAATTGGTTTGACCCAGGATTGAATTGGTTGCTTGAATTCTGTGCATAATTTTTAGGGTGCAGCGCAGCCATGCTCAGGTTGCGATTGTTTTTTGTCCATGCCGAAAAGGGTAACGGGCTTTCAGTGGCACCGGTCAATGGCATCAAATTGCCCCTGAAAGCAAACATCACCGTAGATCTTGGCGATTTTCTCACTTGCCCAAACCTGGCAAGTGAGTCATGCAATGGGTGTGCCTGTTTGATCGGACCCCAAATGGTGGTTTTCCTTTCAGGTGTCCCTTCAAAACATCCAAAAACGGGCACCCTCAAAAGAAGACACACCGATAGACGCCCTCCAAATACGGCCGGGTTGTCTTAGAAAAGCCAGGGAATCGAAAAGGAGCCTCCGGGTTTCCTTTTTGACTTTTAGTCATCCAAAAGGAGCCTCAGACATACCCTCAGACTTGTCTGGAGTTGCAGGGATTTAGATTTATGATACGGGTGTGGGTCAACAGTCAGGTAACCCCAAAATGGGGTTCCTTGCTAAATGGAAACAAGGACTAAAATCTGCGGTCCGGTCCTCTTGTAGTTTTAACCCACGCCAGATATCCCACCAAAAGTTGTTCTATCTTTTGGCATGCGATCAATGAGCCACCAAGCATATAGACCATAAGTCTAGTTTGCCCAAAGGGAACCACACGAGAACGGCCCATGTGTTGTTTTCCTGACTCGCTATTGATCGCACGCCGCAAGATGAACCACTGGGTGCCGAATATCCCCACGATGTTTTACCCACAGAGCATGTTGGATCACGTAAGCCAAACAATTATTTCTTCCCACCGAGGGGGTTCCCAACAAGTGACGCTCACTCCCGGAGTTCCTGGACTTTTGTCTCTTTCGGGTTGGACAGGTAAACCTTACTTTTGTTGGATCCAATCCACTCGTCCGGAAGCCTATTGCTCGTTTAGGTTCGGCTTCTACCTGGAGGGGTCATAGTAACACCTAAATAATAGAATTTATAACCAAATTTCAGTCATACCTTAATTGGTGGTTTGGATTGGTGGTTTCGGGATTTGAACCCCTTGTTTGGTGCGAACCCCATCAACCTTCATATAAACCTTATGTACTATATAAACCTATATTGATATTGATAATGCTATACCCATATATTTAAATAATCAACCTTTCAAAAGGATGGTATGTATAACACAAGGAATTATGCTATTTATCAACCTAAACTTTTCAACACATATATACATATACCTACATATGAAAGCAACATGCACAAAACCTCATTTCAATGGCTGAAAAAGCGGGCGCTCTGCTTCACACAAGGCCGCGCCTGGAGTTCCAGGCCCTGGACTATGTGGCCAAGGCGAAGTCTCGGTCTGTTTGCGGAAAAAAAAAGCGAAGCGACCACTTGGAAGCTCAACGTTGGAGGTTGTAACGGCTAGTTTTTTCGCTCAAAAACGGGTTTTGACTCATCATTTTCGGGTAATATCCCATAGCGGAACTTTTGTGGCTTTTCCACAAGTCAACTGGAATGCAGTTTTTTCCTCCCAACCTGGTTCAACTTGTTTGTTCCTCTTTCAAGCCACATGATGTCCGAGGGGCAGTGACGATTCCTGCGGTCAAAGTGGGTGTTTTTCAAAAGCAGCACCGGCTTCCTCAGCCCAACTTGGGCGGATCCGAATGGCCCTTAGACCATTCGGACATAGGATCCATTGAATCTTCGAAAGATAAGGTGGGTGTGTCAGAGAAACAGACAAGTTGGTTGGTTTGACATCTGGGCGGTTGGGCAAGTACAAAGATACCGCCATGATTTTGTTCGTTTCGAACTCATTTTGTTCGTGATAACATGAAGCCCAGGGCAAAACCTATAGGTGGTCAGTACTTGGGTCGCCTGGCCTGGCTTCGAACGACTGGGTTCGCAAGCTTCGGCAGGCCTTTCCTTGTAACTTCTAGATGTGCCTCGCGCACCTTGATTTCGCAAACATTCGCAACACCTGTTTGGGTTCGCACATGTGAGCCTAAACCCATTCTAGTGCACCCACAGTCGACCGACCACATCCGTTTTGCTGTCAATGAGTTTATATATATTCGGATACGTTGAACCTGTTTGAATTTTGGTTTCATGATTGCACCGTACAATGTGCTGTTTTGCAATGGCCACTTGTTATGGAGTTCTTAAGGGGGGGGGTGTAAGGGGGGGGGGGTAAATTTGAGTAAATGGCGTGGACTAGGGAGCCCTAGGGAGGCCTAGGGTTCAAATACTGAATCCGGCTCAGCCCTCATCCGGCTTAGCCGCTTGCCCGCCCAAAGCTCTTCGCCAAACACTCAAATGCACACACAAACACAAACACACACAGAGTCACACACACACACACTAACACGAACGCGCACGCAAACGAGGGAGCCCTAGGGAGCCCTAGGGAGCCTTAGGGAAGCTTAGGGAAGCTTAGGGAAGCTTAGGGAAGCTTAGGGAAGCCTAGGGAAGGGGGAGCCTTAGGGAAGCTTAGGGAATAGGGTTTTGAGGGGTTCCGAAAAACTTTGGTAAACCCTGTACTTGGGGCTCACTTTGGGGAACTCACTTTGAGGGGTTCCGAAAAGCCCTGGGGCCAACGACCTTAAATCTTGGAAGGCTGGGGAGCTTAAGGGAGGCTAAGAATCTTTTAGGGGCCTTTAGGGGTCCTTGGGGAGGGAGCACTAGGGTTTGCTAAGGAGCTCCAGGAAGTGCTAGGGAGCCTTGGGGCTTTCAAATTACCCCCCCCCCTTACACCCCCCCCCTTAAGAACTCCATAAACTTGCAAAGTCGCTCAGTACATGTGTGTATGTGTGTGTGTGCGTGCTGTTTGTGGCACTTGCTCTGTAGTTTTTTAAACAGGTGCTTATGTAAGTGTGTACTATCAATGCATATACACACATACATATTGTTCTAGTGTGATTTTGCAACGCAATCTGCTCGCTGGTGCTTGTGTTAGTGATGGTTTGAGAGGGGTTGCATATATGATAGTATCCCAAAGGCCCAACTGTCCTTTTGGCCTTCAAAAAGGGCCCAGGGCTTGAACCCTTTGAACCCAGAGGTTCAGTGGGTCGCTTGCTTTATCCCTTTCAAATCAGGCAACAAGAAGGTGACCTGAAGTCTCGACGCGCCTTTGAAAGTTGGGGTCATCACCAAGGGTCACCCAATTTTGTTCAATAGACCTCATACCAAAGAAGGTGTGAGACCCTCAAAGAGACCTTCAAAAAAGCGGGATTTCAACCCAAGGTCGCCCGACTTTTTCAGGGTAGACCCTCCAGGTAACAAAGTGCGGCTAGACGCTGAAAAGAGACCTTAAACGCGGGATTGCAGGTACCTAACAAAGTGCCTTTAGACCCTCAAACAACCTTTAAACATGGGTTATTGCAACCCAAAATGAGTGAGTAGGCCGTTGTATATGTTCCTAGATGCATAGTGGCCGGTAGGTCTATGGCCTAGGTTGATGGTCCCAGTGGTGGGTGAATCGAGGAATTTTGGAGGGTCCGGGTGCTTGCTGGTGCTCAGGGAATGAGATGAACCGGAAGGGGATTCCCTTGAAAGGAAACCACCAGTTGGAATTAAGTCTTAATGGGGTCATTCCATTAGTTATCATAAATGGATACCCTTGAGTTGAGCTTGAACCCCAGAATGGAATGAACCCAGGCTGTCCCTTTAAAGGACACCAGTTGGATGGCTTTCTTGGCGTCAGACTCGCAAGCTGGCGAGGTAGGCCCGCTGGAGCCGCCTCTGGCGGTGCTTTTCGGGCCAGGACCGACTCGGATTCGTCGATTCGGCAATAAAACCCATCGACGGATGTGATCCGGTTGGCTTCCCTTCAGGGGCGAAGCAGTTGTTCACCTGGTATTCATACTATGGATGGAATCCTGCACCAAATTGAAACCATGGTTGAATGAATTGTTTGTTTGCATTTACAGGGGGAATCGTCATTGCAGGGGGTCTTAGGTGGTGCAGGCTTTCGTCCATCCACCGTATGTTGCTGTTAGTTAAGTTGCCTAAGTTTGGCTTCATAGAGTTTCCGGAAGTTCATAGTGTTTTCACCATGCTAACTGGTGCAGGGTTTTGTCCAGTATGAATCTTCTCGTGTTTTAAGGGCCCCTTGTTCCGGGGCGTGTGAAAGGCGAAAGGCGTGCTCATTCCCGGATGGAAAGGCAAGCACCTACTTGAGAAACGTGTAGTCACATCAATAAGAGCCGAACGGTTGGGCAAATGTTATCTTTGCGGTAAGGAACTGTGTGCATGCCACAGTTTCACTTCCTGAGTTCCTGGGCTGTACCTGTTTTGGACATGCTTGGACCTTTTTTGGCTCATCCACTCAGGAAGTGAGCAATTGGTTTGGGATGGGGAAACAGAGGTTGCTTTCTGACTCTCACTTTGAGAGTTCTTGAATATCCTCCTGCAAAGAAAGATGGGCCCTGAAAGTCATCATTCTGGGTAAGAGGGTGGCATTCTTCCTTGGCCCTTCTGTTGACTTCCGATGCGTGCTTGCTCGGTTGCTTGGTGGGTTGCTTGATTGCTTGGTTGCATAGCTGCTTGGTTGTGTTGCCTGGTTGCTTGATCCTTGATTGGTTGTCTGCTTCATCCATGCCCTGCCAGGTGATGGCAACAGCCACTACTCCGAGATAGCCTGGGGCCCAAACTGGAAAAGCGGAAGCTGCGAGTTGGCCAGATTCTACCAGGTTATGGCACCCCGAGCGAGGGTTCCAAGGGCTAGGCTTTCCAAAGCACCGCAAAGAACCCTAAACAACCCTGAGGAACTCTAGGGCTCGCCACCAATCCCTTCTTAGGACTCCACAACGAGGGGTCGGCTCCAGACCCGGACATTTTGGAATGTGTATCTCTCGGGGATTCCTTCAGCACAGTCACACTGTTTCAACCAACATGTCCACTCACTTTTTTTAGTTGCTGGACTTGATCGTCGCCTTTTGTGTTTTGGACCTTTTGAAGGATCTAATTGGACTTTAGTGACTTTTTGGGCTTGAACCCTATTAAATGATCTAGTTAATTGGACTTTAGTCACAATTGGATTGGGCTTTAGTCACTTTTGGGTACCCTCCCACCAATTGACGTGGAACTGACGTTCGGGGGGGGGTCCTGGTTTGGACCATTTTCCTTTCAAAAGCGACCGGGTACCAAACGTCAGATTCCATGTTACGTTCTGGGAGGGATCATAGAGGCTGACTCATGAAAGAGCTATTTCAATGTGTAATCTAGGAAAGCAACGCTCTTACTTTAGTTGGACTTTAGTCACTATTGGATTGGGCTTCGGCTTTAGTCACTTTTGGGAACAATAAATAGATCCAGCACTCAAATTTGGGTCCAATCCACCCAATCAGAATATGTTTCCTGCATCTTGGGTAAATAAATAGATCCAGCAGCTCTTTTGGATCCAGTTCCCTCGATGGCACAATTTGTTGTTTTCCCATCTCAGGCCTATGCGGACGAGGAGAGAGTTCTGCATCTCTCCATCAATGTCCCCATGTCGCGCTCTGCCACGCGCCGGGGAGTTCAAATTGGCGGACAGTTGGTTGGGTTCCAGAATGGTTGTGTGAGGGAGTCTAAGGGTACCCCCTCGATTTTCGAAGGGGGCGAGCTGTTGTTCTAAGGGTTTCCCTTTGAGGGGAAAACACAAAGTGCTTGATGTGTATGGTTTTCTTTATTTAAATGGTAACTGTTTTTGGTATGTTTTTCTTTCCGGGGAGTCGAAAGGAAGAACGGAAAGCTTCCATTTAGGGTGGCCCTCTATTCTCACACATACCCAGCTCGCTTTATGCACCCTGCTTGGTTGTTTGAGCGAAAGCTATGCCTTAAGCTTTGCGTTTATTGACTGCCTTCATCGCAAGCGGCCAAACTGTGTTTGCAGGCTTGCTTTAAGCCAGGCATATTCCCTGGGCAACAACGAGTACATGAGCTCGCATTAGGGCCCCTTGCTCAGATTTTTGGCTCTCCAAGTTGTGAACTTTAGACTTTGCCCAGACACACCCGACTCAACCCCGGGCACGTGGAAACAGCACCATTGCGGAGGGCGCTTTCAAAGCGACGGTGTGTTTGGAACAAATACGCCATCATCAAATCATCAAAGCGCGGCGGCTTTCAATCCAGCCTATCTGTTCAAAGGGATATTTTCCAGCTTCAGCCACCATAGGAGAATATAGGAGAACAATATGTGTACTTCTTTCGCCCAAAGGCGCTACTCCCCCTTTTCGCCTTCAAGAACGGCCCTTAAGCCAGATCCTGATTCCCTCATAAACATATTTTCGAACTCCCGTTGGGTTCTTCAAGGGAAACCGACAGCAAACCAACAGGTTTTTGTTTTTTTTTTTTCTGGGGGGACTGTTTTGAGACATACATACCCATTCCATGAGTTTGAATCAGTTCCCTCAAAAGTGGCTGGTGGACATAAAAATCCCCACCTAAGTGATGTCCACCAAGGGGTCCCCAACTAAAATTCATATTCCTTTGGATGTGTCTGACGTGTCTGTCCTTCAATTGGGTGGTTTCCTGTGGCTTTCCCTTACCGCCAACCCAACTACGAGGACTTGGAGCGGATCTGCGGTCACTTCGCGCTACAAGTGGCAGAGCCCGGGCACGGGCCCGAGCTTTGTTCGATGCCCGCGCATCGATCCCGGTCAGGCGCCAGAAAGTGAGTGCTACCCGGCAACCAGTTGAGCCATGTGCTCAAAGCCGATTCGGGTAGATGAAGGTTAGTAAGGGACACTCTTGCCATAAAGAGCTGCGGAAATCCGCCTTCTTGATTCTTGCCTGAAGCATGGTTCTGGGTCGACCATTTTAATGCCGGGTTTTGACTGTGACTCATTTGGCTATGACATTTATTCAGGGACCCTTTGGTGGACATCGCTTAGGTGAGGCAGGATTCATGTCCACCAATCACTTATGAGGTGGTTCCCTATTAAAGCTCATGGCCAATTAACATCCCTGGAAAAACGGCAAATGGTGGTCCAGGACCTGAATGAGTGTCAAGTTTGCTTTTCCTTTTTATAAAGGGACTCGATTTCACTAGTGGAAATAGGTTCTCGTTTTTTCCAGGGCGATAACGCAATTGCAAGCCAATCAATTTGGAACCTGACAAAAGCTCCCTTCAGAAGCAAAACGGTCCAAACCAGGACCGATGTCCCGAACAGCAGGTTCAGGTTTTTTTGTCTGGAGGGTAAATAGCGACCGTATTTGTTATCTTACCCAAAGGAAACACCACACAAGTTAAATACCCCTTAATGAGTTCGGATTACTCAGGAGGACCCTACTTGGAGGACCCCCTAAAAGAGATCATTTCCTTGCCAAAAGGAAAGTACCCCTGCTTAGTTTGCTCCTTCGCATTGGCATTGCTCGGTGGCTTGCCAAATTGGGAACGCCTCCCCCCCTAAAACCACCAAATTAGATGGTTTTGTCATTTTTCCAGACCCACATATTGCACATTGAGATGGCTGGGGGATTTGATGTGGAGAGCTCGAGGGGTCTATATAGAGGATCAAGTGAGGTTTTTGTTGCCCCTGAGGCACTTCGGAGATCAGAGCTTCAGGCTTTCAGGGCAGCGCAGTTCCGAAGTATTTCTGGGTCAGCAGAGGGAAGACCAGTTTGGGAACATAAACACGGAGTTCTTTTGGTACCATGTGGGTATGTCTTTTGTAGGGAACCCCTTTTTTGGTGGGTTGCAAAGGAAGACCAACAGGACACCCACCACTTACTCTGTATTTGTTTGTTGTTTGTTTATTGGGGGGCGGGGGTCCCCTAAACAAAAAGCACGCCGGCCCATGTGTTTGCAACTGGATCCGAGGTGAGGTAACACAAAGCGAGGCGATCCTGCATGTAGCGCCGGGCAAGTACTCGGCCGACTGAGGTCAGCCCATGCCATCGCCCAAAGCGCCCGGTGCACAAGGGCTGGGCTTTTCGGTTACATTTCGGCCGCCCCGAAAAGGGGGGTTGAACAATATTCCATTTGGGGCCCGCAAATGACCATGGGTTGTTCTAGATTTTGAGATTTAGGGGGGAAGATCCGGATTTGACCAATATGGGGGTTGATCAACATGCCTGGCCCCCAAATGACCATGGGCAGCTTTTGTTATTTAGTGGGAACTATCATCTTTTGCGAGGTTTCCCCGCTGGTCATCCCATGTAACGGACCTTTTGATCAGAGGGTACATTGGTTTGGATAGGTATCCCCTTTAGTACCAGGTTTGACTTTGCTCAAGTGAGACGCGGTCAAAGCCCCTCATTGCCGTTGCAGGCATTGCACTGAGGCTCCACGAATCTGTCTAACCATCTTGGAACCATCATTCAAGCCGGGTTCGGGCGCTCACGTGAGAAACACGATTCTGCCCCCTAAGTGAAGGTTAGTGCACAGCCAGAAGCAGCGGTAGATTGTTTCTACTGAGTTGGGGTAGACCCAGTTGAGCCACAATCAAAACCTGGGTAGATCAAGGTAAGCAAGGGACAATCCAGTTGCCATAAAGAGCTGCGGACATCCGCCTTCTTCATTCTTGAAGCAGTGTTCTGGGTCAGCCATTTTAATACCGGGTTTTGACTGTGACTCATTTGGCTATGAATTTAACTCTAGGGAATGCTTGGTGGACATCAGAATTCGGTGAGGACTCATGTCCATTTCTTATGAGGTGGCTCCCTATTAAAGCTCATGGCCAATTAATATCCCTGGAAAAACGGCAAATGGTGGTCCAGGTGCCCTACCCAATCAACATGGAACCTGACAAAAGGTCCCTTCAGAAGGAACACGGTCCAAACCAGGACCGATTTCCCGAACAGCAGGTTCAGGTTTTTTTTGGCTGGAGGGTAAATAGCGACCGTATTTGATCCATGGCCACGGGGTGCTTCGTTGGTAATCCGGTGCTTGGAACCCTCGGGCCTTGGTCAATGGTCATGGCTGGTGGCTAGAAGTCTGTGGGGCTTCTGTGGGGCTTTTCGGGGTGTACTCGGTCTCGGAGTTCATGGACTGAAGACTTTTTGGGTTTCGGTTTGGGCCATTTTAGTGGCAAACCACAAGTTCGGACTGTGTCTGACCAATCCACTCGGGAAGTGAGACTCTTTTTTTGGGGGGGAGGGGGACCCAACATGAGTTGCTCTTCTTTTGGTTGGCCTTTAAAACCTCCAAACAAGGGGTACCCTCAGACCCACATGAGGTTTGTCCAACCTGATAATTCGTCTCTCTACTTCGTTCGCCTTTTTCACCACGTGAGTGACCCGCGGGGGGGGGGGGGCTCCGCGACCAATCCTGGAGCAACTTCTCAACGGACTTCGAGGCACACCCACAGGCCAAGGGTCTGGCAGTTCAGGCAGGCCAACGGCCACTGAAACCGATGGTTGGGTTTAGAGCACCCACACCCTGGAGTTCAGGTACCACCATCAAGATATTGGGGTTCATATTTCACCACCATTGTTGACAGCTCAGGATCGTCATCCAGATTGGGTCCTTGCCTTTGTTTTAAGGGGGGCAAGGAACCCTAGGCTCTAGATAATGTGCTTTCAATTCCTCATCCCTCACTGCGCACATCGATGCGTTTTAACGTCCCAGCCGACGCTGCATTGCGAGCTTGAGCCGGAGCGCGGCAGGGTTCCATAGAACCCCACTAAACTTCGGGAGTCCTTTTGGCCTCCACCAACCCGTGCCTGGGGTCCCCCAAAGCGTGCTTGTCAAGATGTTGATCATGTTGGTTGGTGTTCGGTGTAATTACCTGATCAGATGTGAACGGACAATATGATCCACTCCTCCAGCCGTATTAGGCCGTTTGCTTCAGACCGGACCTAAACAGAACAATGTGGGAGTTGGCTGTCCAAATCTGGGATAGGGGCCTTCTATTTAGTGTTTGATGTAAAAGAAAGCATGTTTCTCACCATGTTTGCTCTTTTATTTGGGGCGAGGGGGCCTTTTATTATGAGGAGCGATTTTGTTAGTTATTCTGCAGGCCTCACATGTTTCAACATAATGTCACGTGTAACGAAAGTTGGGCCATCCCCTCGTTCAAACATGGTTGAACACTTCCACAATTTGGTTCTGGAAGCGGCGCCTGGGTCTGCTTGTTCAATTCTGCCCACCCAGGCCCTGCAAGAGCTGCAGCGTGCGCGGCATGGCGAGCGCTCCGACGCAAGGGGTCCTTTTTTGTGTAAACAAAAATAGGATGTGGACAGTTTGAGTGGTTTCCTCTATGTGCCAAAGCACGAGGACCCCCAAAAATAAGAAAGTAGGTCTTCTTTTTGGCCTGGCCCCCTATTGCAAGGACACTCTCGTGAAATGTGGCGTCAGTCTCGATGACATGGTCGGCCTTCACACGGGAGGAGATCAAGGTTCGTTAGCGTTCTCGATGACACGGTTGATCCCGCCGAGTCTGCATCACCTGAAGCCACGGAGAAGGAGACCATTTCTTGGTTCGCTTTTTGACACCTAAAGGTCTTTTGTTGGGGTGTGTCTTGCTCGGTTGGTACCCTTTCTTGGCACCTGTGTGTTTCCATTTGAGTCCAAGATCGGCCGATGGATGGCCTGTTTTCATAAGCACCTGGTGAACTATATTTAATGTCTCTGAAGCAAATCGACTTTCAAATCTTGCTTGTCAAGTGCTGGTCGACGAGTCATTGCTAGCCTCAAAATAAATCAACTATTGCAGCTTTAGTGGGGATGGTCCCAACCCAAACTTCTTAGGTTGCTTGAACAAGACAAGGGCACCCTTTTGAATACATGGGTTTGATTTTCTTGGGGTACCTTTGTTGGGTTCAACAGTTGACCAAAGGAAAAGCCACAAATTTGGGAATCAATGCCCCGATTGCACCACACACCCACATGATGATAAACTGTTGGGCAGGCCCGAAGTCGCCCAAACCCGAAATGAAAAATACCCATAAACGAAGCAATGGTTTCCCAACCGCGTCACGGGTTATCCACACAGGAAGTGGAGAGAATATGATTGAAGGCGACCAGCAGCCTTTCTTGAAGCATTCAACTTTCTTCACAGGCCCCTTTCTTCGAGGTGAGAGAAAGTTAAGCCGGCAAATGAGTGTACGTCTTTTTTGAGGGTACCCCTTTTTGGAAAGCAAAAGGAAACCAACATTTTTTGAGGGAACACTTCCCCAGAATTAGCTCCCTTTTTTCTCTCTTTTTTGGGGTCCCTTTGTTTTCCACTAACCAGGCAAAACAGATCATTTTTTGCTGGGGTCCTAATTCCAGCCTAGAAAAGAGACACCCAAATCCGGCCTTTTGCTAAGGATCTTGGTGCTGGTTGTCTCCTTGGCTGCTGCCTAAGTGCGCACCGATTGTCGGTGGTTCCGTCCGCAAGTGTTGAGCCACAAGATTTGCATGGTTTCCTTCTGCCCTTTGTTTGAAATTGCAGGGTTCATTTTTCGGGTTGCGTAGGAAGCTACCAGGAAGCCGACCTGTTTGGGAGACACCTTTTGAACAGTTCAAGCACATTTAAAACGACCCCGCCCCCCTCCCCGAAAAGGCTTGCAGCGATGCCTGCACGCTTCAGCCCTGGGCTGCCTGGGCTGGCGTTTCTCAAAATCGGGTTGTGTTCTTCTCACTTTTCCATGTCACCATTGAAAACCTGGTTCCCGCATTTTGAAAAGCTCTTTTTTAGGTAGTTTTGAAAGGGCAACTAAGGACCAATGCTCACAAAAAACGAAGATGAGGGGATGAGCGCCCGAAACAACCCCTTTTTGGCTTTTTTAGCTCGCTTCCGTTTGGCTTCAGGCTCATAGTGTGGCCTAGAGAAAAAAAACACTTTATGGCCATCTGGTAGTTTTACAGAAGATAGACAATGGGCACAGAGGGCTGCCGCCCACATAAATCGTTGTATTTCATTTTCGCACAGAAATAGTTTTCGAGGATGCACGCTGTGACGGCTTTGACCCGTTGTCACCGCCCTCAGAAGGTACCAATGGACCACGTGCACCGTGCACTTGCCCAGGCACCTTTGCCGCCTTCCAGCAGCGAGTCCTCGCACTCAAGCCAGTCAGGCAAAGGGGGTTGGCGTGAGGTTTACACGTGTCCACCCTTTCAGCTGAGTTCACAGAATGGGTTTTGAGTATTTTTTGGTTTGGCGAAGGGCTCCCTTTGAGATCAACGAGAAAAGAGATGCCAAATGCATTTGTTTCTGCATGGAAGTTAGTGAGCTTCCGAGAAACAGGCGGTTTCTGAGTGTTTCTCAAACACGGGGGCTGCTGAACTTGGAAGATGTGTTTACACTCCCTGAGATCGACCTACTTCTTGGGTTTGGACCATTTCAGTGGCAAACAACTAGGGCAGACTTTGTTTGGCCAATCTCACTCAGGAAGTCAACTATATTGAATGGAATTAACCGACGAAAAGCTGCCCAGGCAGAGGTCCAGTGAAATGGCTGTGTCTGAAAATGGAAATCGGAGGCCTTCTCGGAAGCTTCTGTTCAACTCAGCCCCAGAAAGGGGCAGAGGTCCCCTGGTTGCTTCGGGGGCCCTGCCGCCCCCCCCCCCCAAAGAACGCCCCGAGGTGAAAGGGTTCATATGCCTGACTAGGGCAAATACAAAACTCGGGGGACTGAATAAGGCAAACAAACATGCCGGTGTTTTTGGGGCCAACCGGGGTGGTGAGGGGGTGCTGCAGAACCTCTACATGTCAAACGTCGCAATTGTTGCTCGTTTTCGGAACTTATCGTATGTTTAAAGGTTCGCTGAGTATGGGCCGGAATCTAAGCACATGATTTGTTGGGGGGACTCTTTTGGTTCCGGACCCCACTGCAGCATCACTGTTTGCCCATTTAAGGTCAGTTTCCCTTAGTGGGCTGGATGTTAATGTTGGGGAGTGAATAATAAAGGCCCCCCCCCCCTCAAACAAAATGGGGGGGGTCAATAGAGGAAACCCTAAAAACAAAATGAGGGTCAGACCGGGTCTTCCCTAAGTAGTATTCTAGTAAGTATTGGTTAGTATTGGTTTAGTATTGGTTTAGTATTGGTTTAGTATTCCTGCTGACTGGCTTAGTACTGCTTAGAATTGGTTTAGTATTGGTTTAGTATTCTGGTTGACTGGCTTAGTACTGTTTAGAATTGGTTTAGTATTGGTTTAGTATTCTTGCTGACTGGCTTAGTACTGCTTAGAATTGGTTTAGTATTGGTTTAGTATTCTGGTTGACTGGCTTAGTACTGTTTAGAATTGGTTTAGTATTGGTTTAGTATTCCCTGGCCCCAGTCCTAAAAAAACTTTTCTCAATCAACTCCCCTTAAACAGATCTCATTATTGGCTTCCTGGGTGTTCCCTGCACTACCCCCTTGAAAATTTGGCAGGGTGCGACTTTTAGTAAGGGCTGTCATAAAGAATTTGGCTGTTGGGGCCTCAGTTAAACTTCCTTTTCTGGGGAGACTCAGTAGTTCTTTGGAAAGGAAACTTCCTTTTCTGGGGAGACTCAGTAGTTCTTTGGAAAGGGAAGCCCTTTTCCCTGCAGGCATCCCTGGCCCCAGTCCTAATTTTTTTTTCTCAATTAACCCCCCTTAAACAAATCTCATTATTGGCTTCCTGGGTGTTCCCTGTACTACCCCCTTGAAAATTTGGCGGGGTGCAACTTTTAGTAAGGGCTGTCATAAAGAATTTGGCTGTTGGGGACCTCAGTTAAACTTCCTTTTCAGGGACTTCAATCATCTGCTTGTTGGTGGTGGTGGTAGGTTGGGGGGGCGGGCGGGCAGAGAGAGACAGGAGTTGCACTGAACTAGGGATTAATTATCATTTTTTTGGGGGGGAACATTTTTCCGGATTTTTTGCCCCTCACAAAAACTTTTGTGTATTAACGCCCCCTTTTGCTTTTCAGGGGTGTGAATAATTTTGGGATTTGTTTGTGTATTGACTCCCCATTTATTATTCGCAACCTAACATTAAGTTATACGAAGGACTTAATTGAAGGTTCATGCTTGAACGTTGACTAAATGGGGTGCCACTTCTATGTGGGACTCCTGGTTCGGGATGTAGCAGCTGCTGGTTCAGTGAGCGAGCAAGCTCCCTTTCAGAGGATTTATGTGGACAGGGGGATTTGGGAGTGCGCCTCTTTTTTTTTTCAGACAACCTTGAAACAGCTGTGCCTTTTGCAAAAGACTTTAAGACGACAAACCCACATACTGGCTGCGACAAGGGAGGATCTTGCTTGAGGAGGTCTTCTGGCGTCCCCCAACCTCCGACCCCCCCCGCCCCCAACCCCCAACACGCGACCCCGCCAACCGCCGACAATTTGGGTTCTCAAAATAGGGGACCCTCTAAATTGGTTGATTTTCTGTTTGTTTCCCTTCAAACCAACCTAAAAGGAGGTATCCTCACAAACAGACGAGCCACTCATTGCTCAGGTGATGAGCGGGAAGCCTTACTGAGGTCAGAGTCTGGCGACGAATAGAAAGGGAGGCCTTCCAGTTTCGCGCTTTGGGTATCAGCAGAAGGTCATTGCCGCGAAAGCGGTTTCTCGATGGAGCGCAACGCGCGTTGCGCGACGGGCCCAAAGATCTGGCCCTGGTTAATGAGTCCGCGGGACAGGGTCCTCTGGCGATGTGAATGACTGGGATCGCTTTTGAACATATTCTACACATTGAATGTTAACGAAATATGGACCATGATCAAACTTGTGATTTGTGCCAAGGCAGAATCTTACCCCTGAAGACATGATAGGGCACCAGTTTTGGCAGAGTACCAAGCCTATGTTTTTCTCTGGTTTTTTTTCCTTGATGCCAGGTTTGGAAAACTTGTCTCCCGGGATGACTTCCGCCATGTTTGTCAGCCAGACAGTCAGTCAGTCAGTCAGTCAGTCAGTCAGTCAGTCAGTCAGTCAGTCAGTCAGTCAGTCAGTCAGTCAGTCAGTCAGTCAGTCAGTCAGTCAGTCAGCGTGAAGCCTGCGGGGGCAGCTGGCAGACACGGTGGTTGCACTGGAATCGACTGCCAGTCGCCGGAGCGTCTCAGCTGGTGAAAAGCAGCTCGCAGGCGCTTTTTTTTTTTTTATCAGGGTTGGGCAACATGTTCTTAAGCAATCAGACTTCGGCTCTGCATGGGGAAACCAAAAGGAGATTGTTGAACAGTAGTTGTTTGTTTTTGTTGGTTTTCTTCGTTCATCATGTCCAAACAAAGAGTTGGCCCAATCCAAAATTATGTTTTTCCAGCCGTGGGGACCTCCCTGTGTCTGTGTTTTGTTTTGTTTTTCGGGGGGTGTTTACGTGGAGAACCTTCCACCCGGTCATTTCTCAGAGAGCTAGCCAAGATTGCCAAAGCTTTGCTCGCGGTGCCCTTTGCCCTTTACACGGGACTAGAGAGCACCCTTTGGTAATCTTCTCCGTGTTTTTTTTTGGGTTGGTTTTAAAGGGGGTGTATGACTACTGGAGATATCCGCCTTTTTTTGCCCAGGAGACTTCAGCGGATGGCATAGAATTGTAACTCAGGAAGCACTGAGAGCTGTTTCGAAAGGACTGCGTCGGTGTGTATCCAGTAGCGCTGAACGCAACGCATGTCATTTCCGGGCGCCAACAAGCAGAAGTTTCAACAGCTGAAAGGGGATGGATGATCATCTTCCTGGATTCATGAACCCCTGGTTGATAGATGGGGCGTTGTCCCATTTTCGCGGGAGCCAGTATTTCAGACGGAAACGGGCTTGAGACAAGCAAGTTTGGCCTCCCCTTTGTACATCAAACCCAGCGGAGATATTTAAACAAAAGTCTCTGCACCAATATGCTTATGAATCTTCACGGTGAACACCCTCTGGTTTTCGGTCGTTTTAGACCCACCCTCTAACACCCTCACTTGTTCGTCAGGGTTGGCATCATACCCTACACAAAGTATGTATTTGGATGGGGGCAGGGATCCTCCACAAGTGCTCCCAACATCTCAAGGTGTCCTTCGGTAATTCAGCTGCTTTGTAGCGTTCTTAGGATTCGTATAGGAGCGCATGGCACGCAACGCTGACCGTCGTTTTGCTTTGGCTCAGCCGGTGTAGTCATCTCTGCCGGTCGAGCTGAAAGGCGGGTTTTTGCGCCGGGCGGCCGGGCGCCGACTCCATGCTGACGGAATTGCGGTATTCACCAAAAAAGTCCCTCCTCTCCCAAAACCTGACATCGAAGCTGAAGGGTTTTTTCCCCCAAAACAGCCACCTTTCCTCTGACACGGATTCTCGTGCAGGTTTCGTGAAGGTTTCTTGGGACGGTGGGAATTGGTCTCAACCCACGCTATGCATGCCTTTGTGGCCGTCCTTTGTTTCGCATCTTGCCCGAGGATTGGCGAAGAACTAAACTCAAGTTCCCCTCAATCGGTGATTTGGATGGTTTGGGGATTTGAACCCCTGGTTGTTGAGGGTACATGGGAAGCTACCCCCCTACCATCCAAACCACCAAAGCAGCCATATATTCTGATGACGAACCATGAAGCAGAAACAGAACATAGTGTTTGCTTGGCGGGTTCCAGCCGTCCCCTTAGGTTCTTGGGTTTAGGGTGCAGTGGGGGTTTTCATTTAACCACTAAAAGTTAAATGTTCAGCCGGGGTTCAGTTTGGACGGCCCAGTTTGATGTATAGAGTTGGGCCAAGTAGCAAGGAAGCCTTGTCTAAATTCGCGAAGAGTTCCACAACCATCCTTGACCCCAAGTTGAATGGTGTCCGCCTCAATTGGGGCTGTCATGGTTGACTCCTGGGCTCGCTTGCCAACTCGAATTCGGCGAATCTGAGATTTGGTCTTCCTTGGTCCATGTGCATGGTTCTAGGACTTGACTGCTATTGGGGTTGATCTTTAGACTTTAACTTTTTGGGAAATCAAGGGGTGTTCCACTAAACCCCCAAAAAGTTGAAAACTTCTTGTAGGGTCGTTGCAGCAACCAAGTAGAAGGCGATTCTTGTTGCTTCTTTTCTGGTCCTGTTGTAGCTGCGGCCAGCCTGGCAGCTTGCAGCCTGCAGCCTGCACAGTTGTCCAGAGACCGAGCGGATCCTCTCAGATGACCTTTCAGTTTTTCCGCTTTTGGGTCCAAGTTTAGTCAAGGATCCCAAGAATCGACTGGATCTGAGCCTTTAGCTTTTCTGCTGGTCATATGTGAGTCAAGGATCCCCAAATTCCACCAGATCCGGCCCTGTAGCGCTTTTCCGCTGGTCATGGCAGCCCAAAAAGTGAGCCTTGTAATTCCAGGGCCGAGTCTGTTGAGGGTGTCACGTTGAAAGGCAACGCGTCGCTTGCGACCCCGGCATTTCTCGGGTTCTCCAAAGTGGGCTGGTCTTGTTTGGAGGCTTGGTGCCCTTTTGGATGGCACTCACTTCCTGAGTTGGTGGACTTTAAACTTTTTGGAAAGACCATTTTAGTGGTAAATCAAAAGTTCAAGCTTTTTTTGGCCAGTCAACTTGGGAAGTGAGATGGTGATTCAAGGGCAACCCAAAGGACACGCGCCCCATGTGGGTGTGTTTGTTTTGGGGGTACCCTTTTGTTCGTACTTTTAAAGGGACAACAAAAGGAAGACCAGGGATCTTGGGCGCGTCGCCTAAAAAAAGAAGACGCACCCATGTTGGGTTTCGTTTGCCCTTGGGACGAAAAGAAATCTGGTGTCGGAGCCTGGGTTTCGTTCCCAGGTCATGGCGGCCTGGCTGGCGTTGGGTCTTGGGGCCTTGGCATTGCCCGGGTCCCGGATGCGACTCGTCGCGTCGCGCGCTTGGCCGCTGTTGGGATGCGGCTCGCTCCCGAGGGTTCGAAGCTGGGAAGCGGTTTGTTTTTCTTCCAGGGATGGTGGGGTGGCTTTCTGGAAAATGGTTTGCTGTTGAGAATTTCAACTTGGCTGGGGAGTTCAAACATGAAAGGCCTACGGCTTCCCCCCGACGTCCCTTCCTCAAAAAAAAGAGTATTCAACTCCGTGTTGGGTTTCCTCAAACTACTTGCCAAGTAAACTTCCTCAGAGCCCGGATTGACAAACCCCTGGTTGATGAACAAGGGGGCTGTCCCCTTTTTAGTGGTGATTGAATCATCACTTTTGGAGGGGAACATCCCCCTATGAAGAAATTCCGTTTATAAATCCGGGGTCGAGATTTGAAGGTTCGCTCTGTTAAAGTTACAGAAAGGTACCGGTTGATGTGGAGCTAAGTTGGCCTGCAAGTATCTCAGTGGACATAGTTGCCTTGTAGAAACCCCAACCTTTCAGGAGGTACCCCACTCTGAACCCAAGAGTCATGACCCTCACTCCTACCTTTACAAAAAAGGAAGTCATCCCATTGTTTTGGGGCAATACTGTATCAACCATTTATGGGTAGTTTCTATGGGTCCAGCGAGCCATGGCCTTTTGGCACCGTTTGCCGTGTCTTGGACGCTCGAAGTGCTTGGCTGACTCCGTCTACCCAGGCGATTCCATGGAAGCTCCCGAAGGGACCCCGAAACGGACGGCGTGACCCATTTACCAAGGCCTGGGAGCTTCCATGGAATCGTCTGAGGTGAGGAAGGCAAAACGAGCTGGCCCCAGTTGCCCCCGCTTTTGTGGGCCTAGCCACGAGAGCTCGGCGTTGCCAATCAGGCGTCCTCATCCTCGAAGCCCTCCTAACGGTTGATGGTCCTGGAAGATCATGTTCCCCATTCGGCCGATCTTGCCCAATTTGGGGTGATGCTTTCTGGACTACCTTCGGACATGCTCAAGGCACCACAAGGACCAACCATCGAATTTTCTCCATCGCCTCAGAAGAGTGTATGCAGCTTGCGTTTGGACTTGCTTATTGGGAAAAGATGTGCCGCACACGAAAGTGCTTAGCTTTGCCTGCATTCCCAATCTCCCGACCTTCACCCTGTCCCTAACCGGGGTCTCCAAGTTCTAGGGAAGACACGTGTGGGGGTTGATCAACATGCCCCCCCATGACGATGGGTAACTGTGTCCCATTCAGTGGGACATATCATCTTTTTGGTGGTTTTTCTCTGCGGGTCCCACGTCAAGGACCTGTTGATCCACCCAAATGAGATATCACCGCGCAAGTTCGCGCACTCCGCTGGTCCCCTCACTCCGCTGGTCGGCTAACCGGGCCAGGCACCAGTTCACCGGCAAGGCCGGCTTCAAGGCTGAAATCAAAGACTGCGGTCGTTATTTGTTCGTTCTTGGCAGGCCATAACCCTAGGGTTCGACCCCCCTGAAAAGAATGGCAAGGACCCAAATTGGAGGATGTCAATCCTGAACGGTAAACAATGGTTGTTGAATGAAAAAACCCATTAGTTTAAATGGTGGGTCGTTTGAACCCCAGGGATAACATGCCACCTCAACGTCTGGTTGCAACCGCTCAGAGTTTTCCCAGACACTTTTTTACCAAAGAGGGGGACCCTTCGAGTTTAGTGGTGAAATTTGGTGGTTTCCTTGATTGTTCACCTACATAGCTGAAAAGTGGTCCTTGAACCGGGCAAGAAGGTTTTGTATTACACCATTTCCAGAGGGAAGCTTGTCCGAGATCAAGCAATTTCTAGCTGCATCGTTGCTTATTTTCGGACATTGTGCGGTGGGGGTGTACTCCCAGGATTCAATGTGCAAGACCCTGAACAAAGAAGCTCGGCTTGATTCGTTCCCCTATACTCAAGCCGCCGGATGAATGCAGTAAGGATAGGAGTGGGCACCACAAATAGAGCTTCCTGGTGGCAGGATCCAATCCCTTCCCAGAATGGTCCATTTTAACGTGGAGGATGCATGCTTTACCGGCTAAGCGGCACACAGCTCACTTGTTTGGGGCCGGTCAAGCACGGCAATGTCGAGGCGGGGCTTGGTTAGTGCTGAGTGGTGCCAGCTGCCCAGTGGACTTGATTTGACCCAGCAACAAGATGTCCTGTTTGCGTCGCACTCGGCAAGTGAGGGCGGAAAGGCATCGCCCATTGTCTCCAGGATTTGCCTTGGGTTGAGCATCATCTCACTCATGGAGTTCCCCTTTGGTGGGATGACTTGGAAAGGAGACATCCAAGCGAACGATGGATCCCCCAGCCAGCCGAAGTTGAACCAGCACCCCCCCCTCCCATCATGGCCGTCCACAAAAGCTTTGTGACATCGCGCAACACCGCAACAGCCTTCCCCTAAGGTCTTAACCGGACAACCTTTTGCTTCCATGTGGTCAAGTTTTTGTTTTCACTGTTCCCCTGTTGGCTTTAAAGGGAATCTAACACTGCTGGAAATATGTGTGTCTTTTTTCAAGGGGCTTAAGGACATGGCAGTATATGTTGACAGTGTGTGGTAGGATATTACGGGTGAGGGGTAGATTCGCTCGCTTGTCCAAGCGAGTCGACCGTTTAACTTGTTTAAGTTTTAGAACATATTCCAGCAAGTTTGAACTGTTTGTTTCAGGTAATTTGGGGGCAGCAGAGACCAACATGCGCCAAATGCCGATGTTTCAAATTATGTCAAAGGGAAAGGGGGCTGTCTGCTTCTTTACTCGAGTCGGGGTTGGTTTAAACGGGCCACCACTCATTTCAGCTTTGAGATGTTTCTGTGGATGGTTTTTTATCATCATTTTTCTTGGCCAGTGTTCCGGTGCGGCTTCCTACAGGTGGGGTGATGTTCAAAGGTTGTGTGTGTGTGCGAACCCCGGGCATCTTCCAACATGAACAAGCCCATGGGCGAGCAGCGCACTTCAATTTAAACTTCGATCGCCCTATCCGGCGCGTCTTTGATTTGCCTTTCGGGGAGCATGCATCGGCGATTTCTTTGCCCAGCCACTTCTAGACTTTGGCACCCGGCTTGACTTTGCCGCGCGTGGCCACGCCGGCACCGCACGCGGCACCCTTACTCTCTGGTGTCGTGGCAAGCGTGCACGCGTTGTTCCTGGTGTGGCAACTTTGCTTTGGCGCAGTGTGGCCCAGAATGTGGTTTCCTTCAACATCAACCTCAAAGGGCGGTCCAGTATCAGGGGCCAACACCCATATTACGCGTCCTATTCTTAAAAACCAGGAGGCCTTTTTGGATGGTTTGAGGTGTGGCTAAGGGGTAATTGGTAGCAACTCGCGTTACGGCTTACAGGGGGTCAAGCAGTGGTTCACTGGCAGGAAATTCTAGCCACCTAGCTTTCTCCCAGGCTATCTAAGCATGCTTCCTTTTGTCCCAAGTGCCAGTATCCAATAGGAGGCCTTTTAGACCCAACCGATGAGTTTGCTTTTGTTATCAGACGATTATTTCTACTGTAAGGTCCCAACCGATGCGAAGCTCACGTCAGGGGCCTGCCTTTGTGCAGCCTCTGGCGGGCAGGCGGGCGGGGGGGGGGGGGAACTGCTTGCTGTTCCTCACGCCAGGGATCCGTCCTTTCACAAAACCTCCGGAGAACACGTGAACGATGGTTGAACAGATTGGTTGAACAAAACCGCCAACAAAAACAAATAAAAGAGGACAGACTCGCAGTCTGTGAAAAGAGCGATGGTTGAACAGAATTGGGAGACCACTAGAGCTTGATTCTCAGAAATGTGAAGCAGCCTCAAGCAAGCAGGGGGTGTGCGCAATCTTTGGTTGATGGAATGTGCTCCGCTCCAGAGAGCGTTCACGTCGTCTCGGGGTGAAACATGTTGCTGATTGGGGGTCAAACGGCAAACCGGGGTTTGACTTTCTCTTCCCCCAATGGTTTTCAATAGCCTTTGGAAAACAAAACGCCCAAAGAAACTGCAAACTGGGCGTGGTTGGCTTTCCTGGTAAAGCTTTTGGGAACTTGGTGTGCATTGGGACTGGAACCCAGCTAAATTCCAAAACTACTGCAAGGGAGCCAGGAAAACTCTGCCGGAGGAAAGCTGCCCCTCACTTCTTTCAGAAGAAAGGCTCAGGCTCCAGGGGTGGTCAATGGGCTTCAGGGCAATCCATTGGCCGATGCTCACTGAAAGCCAGTGCCGGATGTTTCCCACAGGCAGCAAACGTCTACAGGTTTGCGGGAGAAGAGTTGATGGAAGCTCGATCTCAGAGGTCCTCAAATCGCATGGGGCAGTCGGGACATGTTTTCTTGGTTGCCTCTCCTAGGACTTGGTTGTCATAGGGAGACGCTCAGGACATTGCAGCCGCGCCCATTCGCAGCAGCGGCCTTGACTCGACGGTTTGGGAGGTCCTTGGTGGTGACCGAATCGGAATCGGCCCCCCCCGTCGCCAGACTTCTCCAAAGTGGAGGTGTCTCTATTCTTGGTGGCAAGCCCAGCCATCTGGTTCCTTAGCTTTTTAGTTGCTTTTACTTGGTTTGGTAGTTGGGTTTCCAAACATTTCATGCAGCTAAGCTTTAGCAGGGGATCAGAAAACGGACAGCCCAGTATTGATGTGTAATTTGTCAAGTAGCCACCTTGAAGCTTTGGTGGCCAATGCAGCATTTGCAGAGCTCGGACACTTTCTAGATGCTTGGCGTGGCGGTCGATCACAACCTGCTGCTTGGGGCGGAATGAGCAACCCAGTTTGAGGATTGATAACCTCAGGTTCCCCGCATCAGGGTTTAAGATTGAGGTTCTCAAAAATACCTTTGGGTCGCAGTGGTTGCCAGAGAAAACACACATGTTGACGTATCTAGTGGGATCTTGTGTACCTTGGATCCCCATTCGGGTTAGACTCCCTGGTCCGGAAGTACAGGGACTTGGTCCCTGATGGAGACCCTCCTGGAGGGGGTTGCGATTTGGGAGTGGTTGACAGGACCCCCGTAAACATGGTTAGTGGAGCCAACAAAGAGCGTTGAGCAAATCACGAGCAAGTCCACTAAGAAGGATGTGTGTGCTAGGTTCCATGTTATCCTGGCCGCAAGTATAGTGAGTAACAATCAGTTATCACATGAAGCCCCAATTGTGGCCGATCCACGGTTAAAATATATTTGTTTGTGTGCTGACTGTATTGGTTGGGTACGCTGCCTTGTTACTCACAGTGAAAGCCCATCCAGTGGTTGTCATAGCCAATAGATAAGCGGATTAGGGGCCCCGATCGCTCTCGGGGGGCCCCTTTGACAACCACATGATTATTGCTGTAAATAAATACAAATTTCAAACAAACAATGTTTCGTTTTTTTCATGGTTTCGGTGGGTGGTGCGACACCGCATGTTGTGAATCCCCAGCTTTGAAGCTGTCGGTTTAGCATCGCCTCAGGGCCAGGGTGATGCTCACCTGAGTGCCAGCACACCCAACCCCAGGCGCAGGGATTCGTGGCCTCCAGAAGAGAAAATGGGCTATGTGCCCTGCCTCCCACAAGTTGTATCTGTGGGAGGGTACCTACTTGATCAGCTTCCCCTTACAGGAACCGGGCAGTTGGCTCCCCTGTCAGCTGCCAATGTGGCAATGGGTTAAGCAAATCTCGCTACTGGCGTTGCGATAGGCAGGGAAGGTGACCCGGAAATAGACCATCCGACTGGTGGTTTCTTTTAAGGGGACCCCTGGGTTTATTCCCACATTCCTACTGAGCGCCAGCAAGACTAAGGTAGCATTTGTGGGTTTGTGGGAGGTACCTACAAGATCAGCTTCCCCTCAAAGGGACCCG